AAGTACATCAGTTTTTACATGTTTAACATTGGAGGAAGTTGTAAATTTAATACATTTAGTTTGTAATTTGTAAATTGTTAGCACTAAACCAATGTACTACAGTAGATAGAGTATTGTTTACATCGTCATAACTTAAAGAACGTCGGTTTACTTTAAAGATTAAAGAGGTATCATCCGCAAACAATACTGTCTCATGATTATTATTAACAAGATAAGGTAGGTCATTTATGTAAATGAGGAAGAGAAAAGGCCCAAGAATAGATCCCTGCGGGACCCCATATTTACCAAGGCCCCGGGAGATCTCGTCAACTCTCTGAATTCGATGGCTCAAGTACGATTTCAGAAGATTGAGTGCGGCATCTCTTATACCATAGTGGCGTAGTTTCCTGACCAAGGTCTCATGCTGTACACAATCGAAAGCTTTGGTTAAGTCACAGAATATTCCTAAGGCATCCTGCGACTTTTCCCAGGCTTCAAAAATATTCATAAACGAGCTGAACACCCGCATCAGTTGTTGAGCGACCCCTAGTAAACCCATATTGCTTGTTATGTAATAAATTATGAGAGCTAAAATGCTGTAACATTTGATTCAACATGATTTTTTCAAAAATTTTACTAAGAGTTGGCAGTACAGAGATAGGTCTAAAATTATTGGGGTCGGAAGTACTACCAGATTTAAACACCGGAATGATTTTACTATGTTTCATAAGGTCAGGAAATTCGCCACGATTGATACAAATATTAAAAATAGTTGCTAGGTAAGGTGATATTACATCAATAATAGAACTGATCACCTTAACCGAGATCCCCCATAGATCTGCAGTTCTTTTAACATCTAAAGTTTTAAAAGTTTTAACAATTTCTGTCTTGTTTACAGTAGTAAATTTAAAGTTGACTTTACATTCCATAACATTCTTTTTTAGTAATGACTCAGTAACTGTCGGTGAGGAAAGAAGTGACTTGGTTGTTGAAACTGGAATGTCAACGAAAAATTTCTCGAAGAAAGTAGCAGCCTGTTGATTTGAGTTAATAGAATTATTATCATTAGTTAACATTAGGTCAGATTTGCGCTTCGTGACTCTTCCCGTTTCGCTATTAATTATTTTCCAAGTCATTTTGATTCTATCAGGTGCATTTTTTATTTTATTCCTAATATATAGAGATTTAGCAGTATAACAAGCTTTTTTAAATATTTTAGAGTAGGCACTAACATAAGAAACAAAAACATTGACTATGATTGTATGTCCTTTCACTATAAAGTTCATACAATCTACGTCTACTATTATGAATTCCGACTGTTGCCCATTCATTGAAAACTACGAAATTATTCATTGAAATATACGATGAATCAAGTAAACATATTAGATGAAATAATTTGTCCCATTGTTTTATCAACAAAGTTACAATCTGCATCACTTGTATCATTCAGTTACACCATGTAGTGTAATGTATAAAGCGTAAAATAACATCACGTTATCCATGTTGAACATATTACACACTATTATGTTGTAACATTTTGTAACTTCATGTTATGTAATATCATAATTGAAGTGAATTGTGCGTTAACGAATAATGGCGTGAACTCGATATAAATGTGGCAGTTGCAGTTTTTATATAGTTACAACAGACAGTATATTTGGCACCAGTATTTATATTTTGATAATATTTGGATTCTCAGTACTAAAGAGGCCTTTGCATAGCCCTGGGACATATGATATTTTATTTTATTTTATAAGGAAACCTTACAGCTATTAAGTATTTATTTTAAAAGAATATTATAACATACAAAGAGCCGATTACAAGTTTCCACCTTTAGTACATAATTATTTTTTAAGAAAAGTCGAGCCCAAGGAAGTGATGAGAGAAAAAAAATACAAAAAACGTCGTACATAAATCATATTCAGAACTTTATCATAAATTAACTATTTTTGGAAAATATTTTTTTAGTGTATTGGACAATTAATAATTATTACTAGGCATTTAGAAATGAAAAACATGATGACACACCTTTTTCTTGTAAATATAATGCGTAAGGAGATATTTTCCGACCAAAACGAATATTAAGGAATTTAGAAATTCTTCCATTAAAAGCTTACTTTTATGTTATTAATAATCAAAAGTTAAACATAAAGATTTATTAGAAAAAAAATGATATAGGTTTTAGGTAGTTTGGCAACTCAGTGTCCAGGCGCTCGGTTTTAATTTAGTATTCGGACAGCCTGAGTTCAAATGCCGGTGCCGACACCACTGAAATAGTTAATCGAATTTTTAAGTGCTGACTTCTCATGTGCTTAACGGTGAAGGAAAACGTCCATAGGAAACCTGATTATTTTCGAAATAATAACAGAAAAATATTTCAATAATACGTGAAGTTGGCCAATCCGCAGTGGGATCGTGTGGTAGACTATGCCCTTATATTCTTTTTACCGAGGAGACCTTTGCCCAGCAGTGGGACATACATACACTGTTACTTTACTTTTGGGGTTAGTTTCTATACAAACATAATTCACGAATTAACTTAATTAAACCAGCGCTATGGAGCTACGGAGTACGTTTTAACACGATGTTTCCGTACTTGATTGATAGCATATGAGACTAAGCCGTAGGCCGCAACAAATCAGCATTTTAAAGTCTATTCACTCGCGCATTCAAAACGCACATCATAAGTGAACGGAAAGACGGACGACACGTTACTGCGTTCCCTTGTGAGCAAGCATACATGATCAAACACAGAGTCATTAGTACGTTTGTATGATGGTGTACTATTTCACTGCACATGAGCGTGCAGTGCAATAGTAGATCGTTATCTAAACGTCACCGTTATCTAAGAGTCAACGAGGCACAACCGTTGCATAGTACGATAGGTGAGAAGATTGTGTAAAGTAGGGCCACGCAACAGTCTTCGTCTGTGTCAAGAATGGGCAGGTCCGTCCAGGGAAGTACCAAAACCTCATATAAGATCGGCGTGAAGTCGAAGAGTAATTCTACGTTTCGCCTGGTGAGTGAGGTTGTCGGGGGCCCACTTAATTAAAAGGTGGCAACTCATCTGCAACCTGACACTTGTTGTTGATGTACAAGACGGGCGGTACCTCACAATTTAATATGTGGCGAACCGAATGTATTATAATCATTGCTTGATTGCCAACTTTTCACATACCTTTTTTCATATTTTATCGCGATTTACTTGCTATTTTATTTCCGATGTTTTGTTAACGTTTAGTTTAATAAAATATTTATTTGATCGAAACTAAACCACTACACTATTTATTTGTCAATTATTTGGTCACTTATTTTATTAAAATAAGTTTATTATTTAATTATTTGGTTATTTAATCGTTTCGTTATATACTTATTTTATTAAAATAAGCAACCAAATAATTGACAGCTTAAAATAGTCAATCAGATTAACCCTAACATAAGGACGTCTACTCAGTCAGCCTCGTGACCATAAATGTTGAAAAAAAAAACGTTTAAATTAATCTCCACGGTTAAAAAAGTCAAGAAAACATTTTTCTATGACATCTGTAAAACTAAGTTTCTCATTTATCTAAGTTTATGAGTATATATGTGCGTATATATAAACCCACTACGTTACCGATAAATAGGATAAGGTCTGCCCCGTTTCACGTAACGGGTACGGTCGGGCTCATAATGAGCGGCTACCAACGGACTGCGGCCATATTTAAGCCCTGAATATTCATAACGTGAGAGCTACGGAACGGTCAATAGGTTCTTGCTAACGGTTGGTGGTCGTTTCGGCCGAATTAGGTTAATATAGGCGACGGTACGTTGTGGCGTGAATGTCGAATGAGGGCAGTCACTTCTGAAACAACCATCATCTACAATGAAGACATTAAATATATATTCGCATAAAGTAATTAAAGTAAGAAATGACAGAACAGAAGCCATACATTTTTTTACTTATGGTACATATTTCTTAAGGCCGGATCTAATATAATAATCGTTCAATTAAAAGTCAATCTCTGGTTAAATGTCTTGATATTTTTACATCGTCGGGGAATTAAAGACGATATAAGACATACTTCCCTCGAGCAACCTTTTACGTCGGTTATTACATGACAAAATGTTTTAACTGCTGAATGCGCGTCATTGAAGTATTTTCTAGATGTGATCATGAAAATAAAACATACAAACTCAGCTCAGACTTGTTTCCCAGTGGACTTACCCAGTATATACATTAATTTCTACAATATCGTGTTCTTATATATTTTGTACATACAACATACATAAAAACATACATCTTGACCACTTCACCGCAAGTTTTGATGTCAGTCAGATGTCATAAGCTAGGATGATAAGTAAATTCAGACGACTACTCATCCCATTTTAAGACCTATCCTGTGAACCCAAGATGCTTATTTATACTTGCTTATTACTTGATCTTTAGATTTAAGCAATAAATATTCATTGTTTATTATGATTCCACTTAATAAAGATGTGAAGTGACACACCTTGACATGATTACACTAGATCTCTTACGGTCTATTAAACACGTGTTAACATATCAATTTGTGCAGTACGCGACAATTTACACAGAATAAAATGCGCAGAGTTTAGCGAAAGCTCAATGGAATTTAACTACATAAGATAATAGATTTTAAACTAAATTTACTCTTAATTTAACATCATTAAAACACCACAGTCGAGGGATCTATTATTATTATTATTTACCGTTTAACTTAATATTTTTGGAAAAGCCATGCAATAGTCTTCACTGTTGCATTCATGCATCAGTTCAGGTCGGTCCGCGGAAGTACGACAAATTAAAATCTGATTGACATTTGTTTTTTTACATTTTTTCATTTCCATTTGAGTTGTTCACTTCTCTTTATTCTCTTAATATACATATTTACATAACCTACTCTCAATGATGATTTTTTGCATTTATACTCTTTTCAGGCTGTGTAGGTCAACTGTCTGAGTTCCGTTTCTCGTGACGCAATGTGCCCGATGCTGCATAAATTCCAAACCCATACGTAATGCATTGCCCAAAAGCCTGTAAGGTATTGCGTCTCGGTTAAACACGATTCAGTTTTTAAATACAATCGTCTGGAGGCCGATATCATTCAAAGACTACGCTAGATATTCGTATGAAATACGTAGACAAAATGTAAAACAAAATATTAACACATATGGAAACGATAAAAACAACAAGCCGTTTTAAAATATTTTCTCCACACTTGTATATTACGTATACAAGGAAGTATATGTAATTTTTATGTTGTTCAAATATGCATGATCGTTCTCTCCAAATATTTCCCCATATTAAAAACGAGAACTTAACACTGTACAATTTGATCTTGTCTCTTGTCTTCCAGATAATAATAATAATAAATATTTAGGACACATTTTTACAACGTTATCTATTCCCAAACTAAGCAACGCTTGTACTATGGGTACTAGAAAACCGATAAACATACTTAAACATACTATTCTTATGTAAATAAATATAAAATTATTATACACTAGCTGCTGTCCGCGACTACGTCTGCGTAGCGTAGGCTGAAGGCGTAACATTCAGACAGAAAGACAGATATACGTAAAAATATGTATGTAAATTATAGCCTATATCTTATTCTGATGTATAAGCTATATTATTGTAAAGTTTCATTAAAATCCATTAAGTAGTATTTGCGTGAAAAAGTAACAAACATCCATCCATACGTACTAATTTTCGCGTTTATAATATTAGTAAGGATTAGTAAGGATATAATAGGATTTAAGATTCTGTATTCTCTCATTTTAAGATCTAAATTGAATTAAGCATATTTGAGTATTCTACGCAGGAGGAATCTCCATGAGGGGAGAGATAAACAAAGAGATATTTATTTTATATAATTGTTTATTTATTTTTTTATTTTCTTTTGTTTGCAGGACGTCACAAAATGGCTGCTATTGGCGGTGCTTGTCGTCACGTTCGCAGTACCAGGTAACTAATTAGCTTAAGTAAAACTTAATAAATATTATTTTAACTTTTACAGCCAGTATCAGAAAGTGTTTGAAGCAAATTCTAAATAATTAATAATAATAATTACTTTTATTATACACTGAATACAAGAAATTTCTATAAGATAGACAAGAAAAACAAAGGGACTTTTTCTATTTTAGTCCTTGTTTATGGTACAAGATCTTCTTTGTGTGCGCAATAGCCAATGTTTTATTCGACAGCGTCCTCATGAAGTAAGATAAGAATGTTAGTGAATCACCAGACATTCATGTTATATTAGAATCGCACAGTTTATTTTTTCATCGACATATTCATAGCTCTCAAATGACTAATGACACCAATTATATTTGAATTTTGAATTATATTTTACAATTATTTCATTTTTGTTATTTAACAACATAAAAGAATAATTCACATTTCATAACCTCAACGCCCATTAGAAGAGGAATATTTTTATAAAGTTCATTCAGTAATAATAATTTGACAGTAGTAATTGATTCATCACAAATAACAAAATGTATTTCATAAAATTTCAACTAATTTACCTTCCGTGCCATCATCATTACGAGCTTACGATACTCCATTACCATACATCATCACCCATATGATGTGATGATTTCTGAAAGTGCACTAAATAATCAAGGTATCCGCTAGATACGCCACAGTGTTCGCTGTTGCACGAATGGGCAGGTCCATCCGGGTTAGTACCACGACCTCACAGAAGAACGGCGTAAAGTAGAAGTGTTACACTTATGCGTTTCTTTCGGTATGTGAGGTAGCCGGGGCCCACTTTATTAAAAGGTGGCAACGCATCTGCAACCCTACGGGTGTTGAAATGTCCATGGGTGACGGTTATCACTTAACATCAGGTGAACCGCCAGCTCGTTTGCCACATAAAAAAAAACCTTTCGCTAAATAAAATTTACCCTAATGAGGAGGAAGATTTGTATGGAGCTGAACAATTCACTATTATTCAGATCAGTATTACAGATAAAAATATTTTTTTTATAAAATAAGCCTTGTCGCTCTCTGTCTCTCTGTGTTACTCTGTGTTAACTGTGAGGCCAACGCACCGGCCGGTGGGCGACGATCTCCAACAATGGCGCATTGTTTGAGATTCACTTCGTCTCCGCAATAAAACTCGGCTTAACCTTCGAGCTCCGAGTTTTTTGCATGCACGAGAAGCGGCAATGAAAGTCTACGGAACACGATTTTAGTTTCGTGGACATGGTATTAGCAAACGTGTATACAAATGGTTCTTACTTGCTTTCTTATTTTTCCATTTTATTTTTATTCGAACGTAATGGTGTGTGTAAATTTAAAAAAAAATTGATAACTGTGGAAGTAATTGCCATGTGGAGATTTTAAGTCTGCAATAAGTCTACAAAACTTACGTTTGATAGTTAAAAGTTTAGGTTTAAATATCAAAATATTTTTGCCGTTTTTATAGATGGTACGGAACCCTTCGTGTGCGAGTCCGACTCGTACTTGGCTGGTTTTTATTTTGTCAGAATTTGGTAAGCGAACGGGCGCTCTACCAGATGTTAAGTGATTCCTACCTGCTGCAGGGTGGCAGATGCGTTAATAATTTTCAAGAATTTTAGTTGATAAGTGTCGTTACTATACGTATTATTACTATTAATATACATTTAGACTTACGAACAGAAGAACAGTATCAGTTGGAGTTATGTTTCTGTCACAGCCCTATCAGCGGAACCGCGTGTAGTATGCTACTACACTAACTGGTCGGTCTACCGGCCGGGTACTGCGCGCTTCAACCCCCAGAATATCAACCCCTACCTTTGCACGCACTTGGTGTACGCTTTCGGTGGGTTCACTAAGGACAACACCCTAAAGCCTTTCGATAAATATCAGGATATTGAGAAAGGTGAGTTTGCTTTAATGTTATTTTCATTTATGAAAATATAAAATACGAAGCTTGTTATATTGGTTTATTAAGCTAAAATTGTATAGCACCATTCAAAGGACTACCTTTAAATAATTACCTATGCAATAGCAAAACTGAAATATCATAAATTCGATTTCATTTTGAAATACCTTGATGAGTCGTTGATGTCTTTTATACGGATAACTGTCGTAGAGTTACGGACATTAGTAAATTTATGTTAAGAACTAAGATAATTATTTCAATGCATATTATTTTATAAAAAAATGATATTTTAGCGTATTGAATCTCTTTTTTTCTGCGATTAAGCTCTATTGTCGAACAAAAAACATTGTTTCTACTCTCTCAATCAGGCGGCTACGCCAAGTTTACTGGGTTGAAAACCTACAACAAAAATCTGAAGACCTTGCTTGCCATCGGCGGTTGGAACGAGGGTTCCAGCCGGTTTTCCCCTATGGTCGCTTCCCGGGATCGTCGGAAGGAGTTTGTCAGGAACGCCATTAAGGTTTGTATAATATGATACACTTTAATTCTCACTACTTATACATATAAATGTGTCATCTCTGTTTATTCTTTTGATACCAAATGCATGTGCGTTCTAGGGATTCTATACTTACACACTATAAATAGTTGTGAATAAAATTTTATAGCTATATAACATATTTATTGATATTTAGTTAATCATTTCATTTTAATAAATGCGTGTGTTTAAGCTACTAGATATAGCGTAGAAAGTGATTAAATAATTTTATAACCTAAAAAAAATTGTTGCAAAATGCCTCCCTGTTCTCTCAATTTAAACAAGAAAATTCCATATAGCGCATGTCGTTTCCTCAATATTGAACGGACGATGTCCATGAATGGTGTTTGTGAAACATATTTCCTGAACTCTAATAGGAAAGGTCTCTACGGTCGTTAGTGATAGAGACGCCTGTTGCAGGGAAGTATTTCCAATTTCAAAGTCAAGTGGGCACAAAGTACGAAAGGCATAACTTGTTTAGAACTAGACACTGCACGAAACAAGTATCCAACGCACTTTCTCTCTGCGTTCCAACCACCTGTACTCGATCTGGTTGTGCAAGGAGCTTAAGTTATATCTTAAGTACTTATAGTAAACGATAGCAATGTAAGAGTGTGTAAAGCTAGCATATTTCTTTAGCTTTAATTGTTATTAATTAGGTAGGTTGGTAGTGCGCATTAAATAGTTGGTTTGTACTTAACTTGTCACAGATTTATAGTTTTACTATTCGTAGCTCAAATCAGCGTTGGCACGTAGAGTTATTAAAAAAGTTTGTTCTTCATTTGAAAAGATAATCGACGTAGGTTCAGATCAGTAAATTTAAACTTTCACTTATATAAAAACAGGTATAATCTAGACTAGTAAATATCAATTCGTATTCGTAATGTCAGGAAACGTTTTAAATACGTAGGTGTGCGCAAATAACTACTAATTTTTTCGGTTTCCTTGCAGAAGTCAATTTTATCATATTTGTGTCAAATTTACGGCAGTCGCGTCACTGCCTATGACGTTTGGGACTGTACATGTACAGTGTACATGTATAGCAATAATTATCTTCTTGCTCAGCAATAAACTACACACATAGCACTAACATATATAACAAAATAGTTGGTCCACGCCTGCGTATCAAATCGTGGAGTCTGCCTTGAGATCTATGCTTCTAGACCTATGTGTTTGCTAAAGCATTAATAGTCCGCTGATTGAAAGATAAAAACATCAGTTAAATAAATATAAAGAAGTTATCTCACCCGTCCTGTTGGGATTCAAACCCGTGAGCGTGTTTATGTAATTAATCATACTAAACCCGAATCCCACAGTTCCTCAGGCAAAACCACTTTGACGGACTCGACCTCGATTGGGAGTACCCAGCGTTCAGGGACGGCGGCAAGCCAAAGGACCGCGAGAACTACTCCAAGCTCGTGAGGGAACTGCGAGAAGAGTTTGAGAGGGAGTCGGAGAAGACGGGGAAACCGCGGTTGCTTCTCACCATGGCTGTACCGGCGGGAATAGAGTACATCCAGAAGGGCTTTGACGTCGAGACATTGAATAAGTAAGTGGCGATGACAATTTTTTTGAAGACACTAGCGATGCTTTCAATGATGCAGGTCAACGTCACTCCATTTAACTCCTATTTTTTAAAATACTCTTTCCTACCTATCCTTTTGTTATAAAATAAAAAAAAGTGTTGGATATAACCTTTCATTTGAAATACAGCTGATGAAAAGTTGTTGTGTTGTAGATATCCGTGGGTGGTCTAGTCTAAGTCTAAAACAGACTCTCCCTATAACTGAGTCTCTAAAATGAGACGATATATTTCTATTGTTAGATTCAGTTTTAACATACGCCCTTAAATTCAATAGTATTTAAGCATAATAATTTCCTGTATTTACGGGTATTCAATTAAATATGTTATCGTTTAAACGAGCAATTCTTGTATATATATAATCGGAATCTAGCAAACGGCTCCAGCGATTTTCATGAAATTTAGTATGTGCGTAGATTTGGGGGCGAAAGATCGATCTAGCTAGGTTTCATTTTTAGAAAATGTCCTTTTATCCCTGTTTTCTGGGAATGAAAAATATCATTCGAATATGACAGTAAATTTCGCCGCAAAAAAAATATATAAAAAAAATAGCTCGGTCGGTAATCGGGCGGCCCTAAAACAGACGGCCGCAGTTTGTATCACGATCATTTACACACTTATTTTTTTTACTTTTTTTTCTATACCAGATCATTTTCTTTCCAAAATACAAGATTTACCAAAAAAACCGAGCATAATACCGAGTTAATCGGGGCTACCGCCAGTTTTTAACTTATTAATTTGGTTTGTGTCAATCTACGCAGAACATGCTAATTTCATCTTGTCTTGCAGTAGTGGTTCGTTCGGGCCTAGATTTAATTAGAGAATTTCATCGTGAATTACTAAAACTAAACACGTCCAACAAATCAGTAACAAATCCGTAAACATAGTTTCATTTAGTAGTATTTAAGCATCCGAAATATTAAGACAAGTCAAAAAACTAGGCCTAGCACCCGACAACCTTCCTGTCCCACTCCTAACTAGTAAAACCTCATCGTGACCTTGACGTGTTTGCGCGATTGAATCCAAAGTTGACAACGCGTCTTAAGCGGCGTGACTCGAGGCGAGTGCGCTTTATACTTGCGACACGCATCGAGCACGTTTAGCTACTACATTACCTAATTCCCTATCCCAATGTCAAGTTGCCCAATATCTAATAAACGGTACGAAGTGTACGCGGCGGCGATAATAGTGTAAGATGATGGTTTATGTCTTATATTTCAGTATGTGAAATAGAGTAACATTTTAGTAATTAAATGTGTTGTCAGGAAACTCTTTAGGCAGTGATGGCATGATTGTCAGTCACTATCTTATGTTTGTAGTCTAGTTTACAATAGTATCAAAAACTTTAACGTTCTATTTTATACCATGATAGACATGTTTGTGATTATATGCATACATGTGGTATAATGTTCATAAGTACATTGTCATTATTTTATGTTTTCCAAATAACACGCTATCTTCCATGACTCGCACCAGCTATATAAATATAATCGTTCGGCTTCGTCGGAATGTCGCACGATATCCAATATGGAATGACGATGTACTCGTAAAATAAACATGTGTAATTCTGAAGTGCTAAGTAATTTTCGTTTTTTCTCAGCGAAAGCCTTGTCATTTATCAATGTATTGTACCGGTGGTCCATACCATTTACAATTTTACTCTTATATCGATGAGTAGATTACGAGCTGTAGAGCCAAAACTGTAAATTGTACTTGGTATATTAACATTTGTCTCGTAAGGGAATGGAACCCTGATCCACGGTGCCATACCCTATCGCTCAGTAAATAGTTACTATCTACGGTCGCAGTGTGGTAACCCCCTTCATGATACGATTTGAATGTCCAACGAGACAATGGGCCCAGTAGTGCATGCACAACACAAGGCTCAAGGTGGGGTGTGCACATAGCGAGAACGGTTGTCATAAGGCGTTACAACACGCATTAAGGTTGTCCCATTTCTACAAATGTTCCGCTGATGTTGTAAATGCTACGCTGATCGTGTGTTAATCGATTAACGCAATTAACATACGACGTGTCTACGCACAATGCTACGTGCTACGTCAGAAATATTACTTCACATCGAAAAATCTCTCAAGTCTTAGTTTGTCTTTGATCTATATCTTCTTTGTCTTTGATCTATATAGATCTGAAATAATAACTTTTGGCTTAAAGACTACTTCAACAAAATTCTCCAAATTCATTACCCACTGCACCCAATGCCTTTATTTTACTAATATCACACATCGGGCTTACATATTTGATCTGAGTGAATAGAGCTCACAACATGTTAATGCTCCAGCTACAGTCTGCTTAGCATTATGTCACAACATATAATAGTGCATGCAAAAAGGTGCTCTTCAAACGTGATATAACGCTCTGATAACTTGCTGTTTCTTAAAGACCCACGTTTTGCTTATAAAAAGATTACAACAAGTTCCGCAGATCACAAACAGTGCATTTCTATCGTTACAATAGTCCTTTTATTTCGGGAGTAATTTTCCCAAAATCGCCGTAGTCAAGCAACGTAACAATATCATCTAAAAAGCATGTAACATTTACAATTATGAAATGACATAGATAGCATACTTTTGATGTCGAATAGATATCCTGTTCCTTCTCCTATCCATAATTTTTCTTTTTGTTTCTATCACTTGACTTAATCATCGTATAACTATTTGACAAAAGGTATTTTTCTTCTTACTTTAACTTGAAACTTTTTATTATTATATAAACAAAGATGGATCGCTTTCAGTTGTTGACATAATGCTTCTATATAACATTGACGTCATACCGACGTCAATATGACGCCCTAAATACTAAGTGTTTTTATTAAAACGTGTGCAGTTTTCTGGTTGACTACAAACACCATACTCACTATTTTCTTTTTGATTTTGAGCAATGCATCTTTTGCATGTATAGACTCCGATCAAATTAATTAGTGACCCAATGCAAAAAGAACGGTTAATAAATTACGGAGTTCTGAGGCAACGAACATAAAAAGAACATACAACCAAATTAAGCACCTCCTTTTTTTTTGAAGTCGGTTGAGAAAAAGAAATCATCATTGGAAATTATTAGAAGGCTCGCTCTTAGACTTTGCTCCTTTTGAATGTACGATATAAATGTATGTATTGATTTATTGTTTTTACGCGAATGTTAGGCATTGTTAAATGAAACTATTTTACGGATTTTGTCGCGTTTAAAAGAAAGAAATAAATGTATCTAATTAATCGCAGATACTTGGACTGGATGAACCTGTTGTCATACGATTACCATTCGGCGTTCGAGCCGGCGGTGAATCACCACGCCCCCCTCTACCCCCTGGAAGAGCCCAACGAGTACAGCGTGGACAACGAACTGAATATTGTGAGTATCGAACTTCTTTTTACCTGGACTTTTTTTCTTTGAACTTATTTTAACCAACATGAAAGAAACCTCACTGAGTAAGACACAGTATAAAGTTTTTTTTTATATACTTGACGTTAGCGTTAAACATAAATGTATACCAGGATACGTACTACTTCTTTACACTTTAGTATTTTATTAAACATATATACGCGAATTCTTACTTCATTGATAACCACTAAAGCATTCATTAATACATATTTGCAGATCTAAATATTTCGTTGACTCTTCGTTGTTATGTCTAGACAAATATAATACAAAATGTCTTTGTATATTAACTACATTACCAAACGCTGAAACAAAACGAAATCACACGTTTAACATGCCAATAGACTAAATCCCATTGCTACGTGACTTGTTGACGTCTTAATTTGTATAAAAAAAAAGTAAAGTAACAGCTTATATATGTCCCACTGCTGGGCAAAGGCCTCCTCTATACAGAAGGTATCAGGGCATAGTCCACCACGCGGCCCCACTGCGGATTGGCGGACTTTACATATCTTCGAAATATATATTTTTTTTTTGTAATTATTTCGAAAATATGCAGGTTTCCTCACGATGTTTTCCTTCACCGCGGAGCACGTGATAAGTCAGCACTTAAAGTTAAAAAGTTCATTGGTGCCGGCACTGGGGATCCAACTCAGGTTGCTCGAGTATATTGAATTAAAGGCGAGCGCCCGGACACTGAGCTATCACGGCTCATTAATTTATATATGAAGAGTGAAATTTCTGACTAAAGGGATTTCCTTTCAGGACTACACGATCAAGTTCTACCTGGAGAACGGCGCGGACCGGGATAAGCTGGTGCTCGGGATACCCACTTACGGACGCTCGTACACCCTATTCAACCCGGATGCCGTGGAGATCGGATCCCCCGCCGACGGTCCCGGGGAGCAGGGGGACGCGACCAGGGAGAAAGGATATTTGGCCTATTACGAGGTGAGGCCCATAGTCCGTCTTCAACTATGATTACAATGAAAGTCCTTGATGCACTCTTGCATAAGTTCGTCATCGGGTATACAAAGTTCATGATATGGTTGCCAAGTACTAGTCAGATCGCGATGAAAAGCTGTTATCCGTGGCTTCACCCGCGCTGCCAAAGGGAATTAACAATGAGCTTTTTATGATACACCAGAATATCTCGCAGATGGCTTAATTTTTTCCTACTTAGTTGACACTTATCATTACCTATATTTTGGACAATTCACACAGTATCTTTATATAAGCCAATGTGTTATTCTGATGTATAAGCTATATTATTGTAAAGTAAAAATCTATTCAGTAGTTTTTGTGTGAAAGAGTAACAAACATCCATCCAAATATACAAACTTTCGCATTTATAATTTTAGTAAGGATAATAAACAAAATACTATCAGTTTCAAACGTCAGTTCGAAAGCGAACTTCATCTTATAAAAAATTGATCATAATATAATATTAATTGTGCAATATTGACATATCTATTATACATAAGAAAGGACCATGCAAAAATTGTTCAAACCGTCGAGAATGTAAAATAAAATTAGATAAATTACGTAAAACAATTTAATTTTGCAATTCACAAAAGTTTTTAAGTGTAAGAGTAATCAGAGTTGAAATCCCGATTCTAGAATCATTTAAATTGTTTATGTTAGCGGTCAATCGATGAAAGAAAATAACACATTGCATATCTTATTTAAAATCGCTCTGGCTTATGTGAAAACCTGTTTAATATGTATTATTTAAATATTTACCTTGCGTAAATCATTATTCTAAAATATGATGAACGTTTTCAAGATAGGCGGATACATTTCTGCCTTAGCGGTTTTTAAACATGTTTTGTGATCTCTCTAAATTGCTAATGAAACTGGTTTCACGGTTGACAACAGAATGGTTGCCTGTTGATAATTGTGAGTCATTATAAATTCCACATGATTACGATATTATCATAAATTATCAACTTTTTGTTACAAGGTGTGCCAATTTATTCGGATGATGATACAATTTTCTTAATCTTACGCCAATATTAACGCCGTTAGTGTTTTGAAATGAACTTTACTGCAATGAAAGCAATTAGTGACTAGGTTATTGGATTTACGAACGTTTGTTATTGCTGTGTTAATGAATAACGGCGCTGTTTAAAGACTCACCACATTGTTTTTCATTTATTTTTATTTTATTTATTTCGTTTACCAGCAAATGCTACATTTATACATTAAAAAGAAGTAGTATACAGTATATTCCTATAGTTAAATGTAAAATTAATTAAAGGTATACACCACATGCGAAGCATATAGTTTCATGCATAAGTATATGTTCACAGAATACAGTATAAAGAAGGTAGAAAAGAAATATTTAAAAAATATATATATGCTATACGACTAATCAATAAAAAATGATATTTATTGTGTACTCGCAAATATTCAAGCACTACCTATCAAATTTTCCAGATCTGCGAAGCCCTGAAGCCGAAGCAGAGAAAGCGCAGCGTCAGTTCGGACTCTGAGGAGTACTCTGATGAGGAGGAGGAGGAAGAAGAGAAGGAGTGGACCGTCATGCATCCGAACCCGAACGCAATGGGCCCCGTCGCGTATAGGGGCAACCAGTGGGTCGGCTACGACGACGTCGAGATCGTCAAGAAGAAAGCCGAATACGTTGCTGAGAACGGACTTGGAGGTGAGGCGATACGCGATGACTAGTTTCGAATAGCTGATAAACTTGCGGTCGTAGGTTCGATTTCATCTATGAAGGAGTCTTCCTTAGATGTATTTGTGTTTGCTCTTCAAATGATTATTTACTTCCACTTAATATGTAACTGATGAAAGAGCTTAAAGCCATAAGAAATACCATTAATCAAAGTAATGGCCGTGAAAACAGGCGTGTTCAATAAAATGTTTGCTGATAAGCACTAAGTTTTCTTTACGTGCGATAAAGTTATGTAAAGTTCTTTTGCGTTATAAGAGAAAATCTTGAAGGCAAAAAGTAAATTTGTAAACAAGCCTGTTGATTATACACACTGTGAAAGCGGCGTTATGGGTGTGACCATGTTGTGTAAAATTATGTAACGATTGTCCCAAAAAGGTCTGTTGACAAATGATTCATTCATATACGACGGGTCATATACTTAGTGGTTATCTTTATATTTTTAAACCTATATTTATTAAATGTTTATACTTTATCAACTATAGAAGTAGTAAATAATCTTAAATTGAATGTGCAATGTAGAAATAAAGAATTATTCTGTCATTTTTTAGGTATTATGTTCTGGTCTATCGACAACGACGACTTCCGAGGCAATTGCCACGGCAAACCCTATCCCCTCATCGAGGCAGCTAAGGAAGCATACATACTAAAACTTGGGTTAGTAAATTACAAATTAAAGGTCAATGATTATTTGTTGTTTAACTGCAATGAAACATTACGTTCCTAAACCAATAGGAATAAAACGCTGCAAAATTTTTAATTATAAGTATAGTTATATGTTATCTTAAATTGTATTCGAACTCCACTATCGCATTAGGTACAGCCTGTAATGATAGTTGTAAGTTGATGTATAAAATAAATAAGTAAATAAATTTTAGTTGTTTAAAAAAAAAAACTAAATTCATGTATATTAATCGTTAAAAAAATCTTTGTTAGCTGGTCAATCTAAATATTAATTCTGAGAAGAAGCTATTTGATTCTACTATTAATACCAATGATATTATATACAAATACGAGGTAGACATGACACTAGCGGACCGAAACCGAGGCAATTAAATTGAAATAGTAAAGACTGCTAATTAGATTGCAATTCTATAGACTGCTATCTCTTTCCGTACCATACATTATATATCACTTATATATGTCATATAATGTAAAGCGGAACAATTTTTAAACGCCATGCAGTATGTACATGCGTCTCATATATATTATTAAGCATCATTGATTAATACTAGTAATTATTTCTAGCTCGACAGATAACATTGTTGTATCCGAGAAGCCCAAGTCGAGAAGCAAGTCCGGTGGCAGAAGGAGGAATCGACCAAAAACAACTCCAACCACCACGACCACCACCACAACCACCACTACCACAACGGAGAAACCATCGACAAAGTAGGCATAATAAATTTTCTTATAGTTGCAAAATATTTGGTTTACACTCGTGACAATAGAAATTTCTGTATAAGAGAAAATGGTCATAATTTTTTTTATAAGGTTATGGTCGTATTTCGACCACTGGGAGAAAACTGTGTGTTTAAAAATTGCAATTAAAGATAGAGTTATATTTGTAATCAATAATAACAATCGACCGAATTTAAAATCAATTCAATATCAAAAGCAATAATAAGAACAGATACATTGCCTGTTGCGATTTTCATTTTCTGTTTTGATTTGAAAATAGAAACACGCGTGCACGCGTAAATAATTTGTTTTTGCACACAATTTTTTTTATCTATTATTATAAATATAAATTTGTTAACGCTCTGTACAACGGAAACGTTCCACAGTTGGACATTTGTGCCACTGTTGGCCAAAGGTTACGTATATAACTATCACTGTACTTAATTTACGTTAAAGCCAATTAAAAAGTACACTTGAAGTAAGAACTTGGATTCACACTTATGCAATTGTCAATTTGACCCGGATGGTGTGTTGGATAGTGTAGCTGTCTCCTGCACCAGAGGGTGTGGGTACGAAGCCGACTACTGGAAAATATTGTGTGATGAACATAGTGTTTTTCTAGTGTTATTTATTTACAAAATAATGGTACGTTTAAGTATGTTTATAAGTTAATAGTAGTTTTAAGCTTTCCTTAGTTCGGGACTACAGAACGTTGTGTAAAAATATGTCGCTAAATATTTATTTCATTAATTTTAGGAGCAGCAAACGCAAGAGCGGTTCGGCCTTAAGTACAACCCCAGCTTGGAACATCATCACCCCCGAGCCCCCTACCACACCGGATCCCGGCTCAGGTAATTTAATATTTAATTTAATTATTGTAATAATTGCAATGTTTTTGAAGGTGTCGCGATAAAAATAGGTATTTTCGCTTCGTTTTACGTTACTATGAAATTCATCAAGTAAAACTTTTGTAAGGTTTACCATTTTTAGATTCCGACTAGTTTTACAATTATAAATCATATTTTATTTCATCAATTGTTCATATTATCCGTAATATTTGATGTTTTATCTTATATAAATTGTTTTCTTTCTTATCTTAAGCGCAATGATTCGATCCAGTACTTTTTTTCTCCTTTTTTCTTTTAACATAACTTCTGCAGATAACTTCAACTGTGGTAGGACCACGCAACAGTCTTAGCTGTTGCACGAATGGGCAGGTCCATCCTAGTAAGTACCACGACCGCACAGAAGACCGGCGTGAAGTGGAATTATTATACTTCTGCATTTCGTCTGTCGAGTGAGGTACCTTGGGCCCACTTCTTTAAATGGTGGCAACGCATCTGTAACAAGATTGTAGAAGAGACTTTTTTATGTGAATAGTTGCCAAGCGAGCAGGCTGATGTTAAGTGAATACCGCCGCCCATGGACATCTGCTACACGCGAGGGTTGCTGATGCGTTGAGAGCCTTTTGAAAATTGGGCTCAAGCTACCTCACTCACCAGACGAAACGCGAAAGTATTTAGTATACTTCCACTTCACGCCGGTCTTCTCTGAGGTCGTGGTACTTGCCCGGACGAGCCTGCCCATTCGTGCAACAGCCGAGGCTGCTGCGTGGCCCTACCACAGAAAAACTGATATAAAAATGTTGTTTTTTTTTAGAAGGCTATAATATCCTTTGGATTTGTCATTTGTCTTCGGTTTCCTATTTACATTTCAATTTCAGATTTCAAGTGCACCGAAGAAGGGTTCTTCCAACACCCGCGGGACTGCAAGAAATACTTCTGGTGTTTGGACTCCGGCCCCTCTGACCTTGGAATCGTCGCCCATCAATTCACATGTCCATCAGGTAATAGATAATTTGCCATAAAAGCCTAGAAGTGATCTCTATCAAAATCAAAGAATCAGAATAATTTATTCATCAACGTAAAAAATCGATAGTCATTTTTTTAATCTACCACCGTTTCCTCATGAGGTTCCTGCATGTTATTCGCTTATCCTTACCTTCGACACGAACTTTTATTGATATTTCTATAACAATTAATTTTGTTGTAACAGTTTTATGAATCGATTTCGATCGACATAATTTTTAATGGGATAGTCATATTCAAATCGCAATTGGGATCGTCCAATTATAAAACAGTGGAAAATAGGTGGAGGTGGTAACTTCTTGAAATTGTAATTTTATTTATAGTCAGATATACTACAATTAAAATTACTTAATACTAAATTTAGTTATAGTGCATAAGGTATTTCAGTTTTTATTTTTATGTTAATTTTACTTGTGATTTATGCTGTTGTAATTATGGATCTATGGCTTGTAATAAAGTCATTGTTATTATTATCATAATTACAATTTGATTTACGGATGAGTTACAATTAAATAACTCATTGTTTTTCTGTCCGTAAAAACGCAAACTTTAATAGTCAATTAAGCAGAAATAATGAGTTAATAATAACTTGATCTTAATTGTTACTAAACAAACAATAAAATTTTTATTTTTATCCTATGCAATAAGTAAAATTTGCCCACTAATATGTCATAGTATTTATATATTGTATCCATTCAGAGGTTGTCCATAAGTAATAAGTCCTCCAATTGTATTCATTACATTTATTATTATCTTTTTTTTTATATTTAAGGGTTTTTATTTATCCAACATTTACAACATTAAATCCATCTAAAATTACATATTATCTAATAAACCTAATCCACACGGCACGGTGCCAGGAACGCTAGCTGAATTTCCTATTACCTTTTAACGTATTTATTGTCATGGTGCATCCAATAAAAGAAATCCATTCATGGATCCATTTCTGAGCAACGCTAATGCTATGGTCGTCTACGCCAGGACTGTACTTCAACAAGGCGGCTGACTCCTGCGACTTCGCCCGCAACGTCCTGTGCAAAGTGTCCGCCGCACCACCAAAGCGCCAACGACCAAAGCGCCGACGACCAAAACAACGGTCACCACCACCACCACCACGACAACGAGGAAACCCCTGCGATTGAGCACCAAGAGCTCTCAGCTGTTCAGAACCACATCCACCACGCCTGCATCTGAGGTACGGCCAAATCAATTCAAAAGATAATTGTCTACAAACTTTATTTCACTTACATATTACTTTACTTTGATTTGTATTTTTTATTTACGTTTTTCTTTTTCTAAATCGACACAGATTATAATTTGCGTATTATAATATGTTATTACTACTGTCCTAATAGTATTCTAACTTTTAAAACACAAAACAATATTGTACAGTCTACATGTATAAGAATTTAACAAAGTTATTTCACATACCTAATGTGAAATAATTTCATGTTGCAAACGACAATTTAATATACAATACGTATAAATATTTTTGTGGGCCATAGGTTTAATCCCAAACCAAAACTATAGCCCGTGGTCGTTAATTTAAAAAATGCTGAGTCAACGTCGTCAACTGTACGCTCTGTTCTACTGAATAGAGCGTACAGTTGACGACATAATATTTACAATCAGATTGAAACGGATTAATCGTTCCCATCACATTGAATAAATATCGCAGATTGACAGATCTTTCATTATAATAATGTAGTTCACAATCTAGATACTGATGGATTAGTACGTAGTAATAATTTAACCACTACGATGGAGAATATATATTGTGAATAATGTAATGCTTTTTGTCTTCAGTCGGTTGAAGAGTATGAGGATGACGATACGGAAGAAAACATCGACGCCGAAGATCCAAAAGTGATAAAGGAGCTGATCGATTTAATCAAAAAAGTCGGTAAGTTACAAATGATAAAGTTAATATTGAGCCAATTTTACTGCATTGACCACCGTGTATTTATTTGTTTTGCGACTTTTTACGAATTATATACCAAAACATTAAAATCAGATACTTATGTGCATTAAAATGTATTGATGGATTTGAACCTATGCCTCTTCCTTTCCTTTCACCGCTGAGCACGTGACAAGTCAACATTTAAAATTAACAGTTTTAATTTGTGCCGGCATCACCGGAGATTAAACTCGGGTTGCTCGAGTATATTATAAATAAATAAATATTGAATTAAAAGCGAGCGCCCGGTCAGTGAGTTATCACGGCTATCATGTCTACGAGAACGGATAAATAATGTTAACAATACTAATAACTGTGCGACCCGATTGGCGTGAGGAGTACTGAACCTACATCTTGCGTCAGCGGGCGTGAGTTCGATCCCCACTACTGGAAAAATATTGTGTGACGAACAAAGTGTTTTTCCAGTATCAGGGTGTTTATAAGTATTTATTTTCTTTATATATTTATTTACAAAAAAGTTTATGTTTATGTTTAAGTATGTTAATCAGTTTTCTAGTACCCATAGTACAAGCGTTGCTTACTTTGGGACGCGAGAGCGCTGTGTTTCACATGTGTCCGAAATGTTATATAACAATTATATTAAATTTATTTATATGTAATGAGTGTACAATACCACGGCAACACACAATATAGCGAAATTACACCAAACTTAAATTTACTTCTTGTACGTCAGGCGGCGTGGAACAACTGGAGAAGCAGCTGGGGTTGTCCGAGAGCTCCGTCAGCACCAGCAGTGGCGTGGCCTCCAGTACGCCGACTTCGTTCAACAAGAAGCTTTACCAGAAAGTTTTGGAGCGCACCCGTGGTAGGGGCACGTAAGTAGACGCCAACTGCACATGTCACTATACAGTTTTTTTTTGTTAAAAGGTGGCAAGCGAGCTGCCGGTTCACCTGATGTTAAGTGATAGCCGTTGCCCATTGACATTTCCATTACCCGAATGGTTGCAGATGCGTCGCCTTTTAAAGAGTTACCTCGATCACTAGACGAAACGAAAAGAGGAACACTCCCACTTCACGCTGGTCTTGTGTGAGGTCGTGGTACTTCCCTGGTACTGCCCTGTGCATCTGTGAAGACTATTACGTGGCACAACCACTGTTAATTATATTTATCGTTGCATTAATATTAATATTATTATGAATTGAATATTTGAAATATTAATAATCAAATAGATATTGTCCATGTAACATGGGGGCAAGCGTACAGACTGATCACCTGTAATTAATAGTAATTAACGTCGCGTATGAAGCTGCCGACGTTATACACACTAAACTAAAATCAGAAAGGCAGAGCAAAAGTCATTTCCACACATCCTTGTCCTCAATGTACTCTTTGACAAAATATAAACCCTGTCCAGTAGAGTAACTTTTACGAGATGTTTGAAATTGTTTAGTCCTAGTTGTTTGTGGATGTTACTTATTGTATTATACATATACGGTGGTAGGTTTTGGACGTTCGAAATGAAATGAGAGTGTAAGTTTGTTTGTTACGGTCTCAGGCCAAAACTACTCAACCGATTATCATGAAACTTTGTACACATATTCTTAGAGGTATTAAAAAGGACATAGGATTCCATTTGGATTGGATTTACAAAAAAAAAAGTTGTTCATCATTTTGGCTTCAACGCGAGGGTAGCCGCGGGCGAAAGCTAGTGTTACAGAGTGTAATGTTCCAGATGTTTCACACCCTTAGCTTAGCTTTTGACTATATGAGTCCATATACATAAAGCTTTTATTTCACGTCGCAGGTTCACCACAAACAGCGTGACGGAGAAGTCTTCTCTGAACAGCCGTCGTGGACCCCAAAACGAGGGTCTGGAACCAACCTCAGACCAAGACAGGCTATTGAAAAAAGAAAGACCGCAGTATGTACACCAAAGCCTTAATTGCATACTTGGTTGTATATTTATTTCCTTAGATTCATTATGAAAAGGAGCTAAGTTTATGCTACTTTTAATAATGCGTTATTTGAGTGACTATAAATTTATTACTATCGCTGCTAATTTATTGAGATACGCTGGTTTCCAAAACATTAAGAACAATTATCGGTTCAAATTAGCGCACAGTATAACTGTGCATAACATATTATGGTACAGAATCAGATTGAGCTCTACAGAGGCGTCCAAAAATTTTGCTTTTAATAAAGCATGAGTTTTAAAAGCCACGCGCTTTAAAGGCCTAAAATATGATTCAGTTAACAGCACCAAACCAATTCATTCAATTCCTTTATAAAGTTTTGTCTAAGAAAATGTGTGAAAGTATGAGTATTAGACTATAAATCTAGATATAATCTAATCTTTCTCGCGCGGTGGTAAATTTTGACTTTGACATTAATAAAGTTTTGTATGATCAGTGTCTTCGTCCACATGTAACAGTCAAAAGAGATATTATACAACACGTAATGTAGAGGCAGGGTGGTTGTGCTGTTACTTTGTTTTAAGTCATCACTTATTATTGTTAATGATAAAGACAACCTTATCATTAACAATAATATGTGATGTTATCTTCACACCTTTCAATCACAAAAGTGAGAGAGTGCTAATTTGTTAAACTCTAGCAAACTGATATAAATTTTGTGAAAATTGGTGAAATAAAGTAAATCTGAAGGATGGCAACGGATAATAGCCATAAAAGAAATGTCAATTAAGTATTATTTTATTTAATACTCACCGTAATTTGTAGGTAAAGCCAATGTTTTCAAAATATTGCAAAATTTTCTTCTTGTGACGTGACATATCCAACGTCCTAATTAAAATTCAAAGATATAATGTAAGATCGATGTGAGTTTGAAAGATAACAAGCACACTGTTAAGCACAGCACCGGCTGTCTCGTTTAAGTTGAATCTGAAGAAAGAAACTGTCTTCAGGTACGTAACGATCAACCGATCGCGGACGTCGCAAGGCACGACCACCGAAAGCTCTCTGGAGAGCGAGGAGGTCGACGATGAGCAGGACCTAGAAGTGCAGCTGAACAGAGGCCGCTCGGCCGGCGTACAGTCGAAGGTGGCCACCACGGCGAAGCCCCTTCAGTACGTCAACATACGACGATCGAAGCCCACGACGACAACCGTGTCTGACGATGACGACTCCGCTTCCAGGTACTAAGACCATCTATGACATCTACTGAAACGACATTCTCTTCCCCCGTCCGCGTTCTGTAGGATGAACCCCACTAGATGGATTGACGATCTGTGCAAGTGTGCAGGAAGTCGATAGATGCAGGTGGCTCAGAATCGTGATTCATGACAGTCAATAGGTCAGGCATGTGTTCAGCAGTGGACTTGAACGGGCTGAAATGATGATGATGGTGATGATTTACACAGCAAACAACGTGAACGTACCAACCTATGAAGTTGTTATTATGATAAAAAACAATGAAACAATATTTAGAGTTTTACTCTATACAATAAAAATAAAAAAAGCACTAAATGTGCCGTTAGCACCGTTTACGCGAATTGAACTAAAACTAACATTTGAGTAGTACTGTACCATTAATTCTATCACTCCTGATCCTTCTCAATGGGTGTGACTTATTTTATCTGCAATTTTAGTATTATTAAAGTTCACAGTATTACAGTTTAGAACTCGGTGTAAGGCGACTTTGGACATTGTTACGATATATATCTAGTGCAAAGTGATATGTATAATTGAGAACACAAGAAATTCAGACACAATTTATTGATTAACATAAATTGGTATGATATCATGAAGTAGCATAGCATCAAGTGGCTTGCCTCTTAGAAATCGTGTATTGTTGGCAAGATACAACTGTAAAGACTTACGTCCTACAGTTACATAATGGTTAACAATTTAAAATTAATATCAATCTCCCTATCCTAAACAGTTATGATCCTGTTTGTAAACTAACTTTATTTACTTCTCAGGAACGCTTTATTCGAACGTGTGGAACCTTATGTATCCGTCTCCGAAGCGGTTAACTCTTTGGATATAGCAAGTGCTAGAAGAGAAAATACACCTGAATACGTCACTTTAAGAAGGACACGTCCGACTACCGAAACAACTACAGCACAGTGAGTATTATTATTAGCATAGCTTACTAGGATAATTATTAGCTTAATTTAACTTTAACACAACAAATCACATTCTATATTCAAAACCTTGATAAATTTAAATTATTTGCACTTTTACTATTTAGGAGTTTGAACAGCATTTCAGAGTTATTATCATTAGTCCATACTATGGGATATATTTGCATACAATTTTAGATTTAGCCAGCGTTTGCGATTTAAGCGCACAAAAGTGTTTGTTACCACATCACATTACAAATATTTAAATTTCTCGGCTTTTTCTCTACTACAATATACATGTTTAGTAGATAAAAACCTTCCTCGTCAATCACTCTATCTATTGATGAAAACAGCATTAAAATCGGTTGCGTAGTAGTGTAAAAGATCTAAGCGTACACATAGCGGGAGCGACTTTGTTTTATGAGTACACTATGTATAGTTGAGCTCGTCTTATGCTATTATTCTGCGAAGAAGAATAATAGCATAACACTTAGGTTGATACTGATGACTCGGTGGCGCCGTTGCTGATCTATCGACGTGGGGGGGTTGTGGATTCGATTCCCTCACAGGACAAGTATTTTTGGGATCCAAAGATAATTGTTCCGGATCTGGGTGTTTATTTCCCAAGGATTTGACGTCAGGCAAGCGGCCGACCATAAAATCTTAGCCAAAACCGCTTACAACATGATTCACATGTTGATCCGATCCCACCTAGGTTGGATAAGGGCAGGAGGATGATGATGATGACTGAGCGTCTCCAGTAACAATTGAAATCGAGTTACTGACTCTTAAATTTTTGTTCATGTAACAATATTTATAAATAATTTATATTACGCATTATAGAACTTAATATTAGTCTGTTACAAAATGATTACTACAAAATTTCTTAGTAATTGTTTATTCTTTATAGGTATCGAAATTCAGAAACTGAAGTCGAATCTCAAGAATCGGCATTAGAAAGAGAAATAACATCGCCATCTTTGCAACCGCAATACACTTCTATAATAAGGACTCGTTCAACCACTCTCCCTCCAATTGAAGAACCAAGCAGTCCTGAACCAACTACTGTCCTCTCGGTCCAAATATCATCGCTGTTGAATTCACCGACGGCTGCAGAAATCCCCGAGCCTGTATCATCTATATCAACAACAACTGAAGCAATTGAATTACCTACTACTACTGCTTCAATTCCTACCACAACTACGCCATTACCGTCCCCAACAACTACCGCCGATTCTTCTTCAAGCACTACATCTCGTCGTAACGGGCTGAGACGTCGCGGATCGACCACTACTACAAGCGCAACAACATCAACCCCAATCTCAACAACACAGGTGAGTTACAGGAATTCTAACTTTGTACGCCGCCGTCGGCCTTTATCCACACCAAACGAAATACCATCGGAATCGGAAGAAACAATTGTTTCTAGAAAAATTAGGTCAACGACCCCAGATAGCCGCGAAGTTGAAGGGGTAAAACTGGACAGAGAAACCACACCAAATCGAAGATTCAGGATCAGGTTTCAATCTCCAATAGAAGATTCTTTGCCAGCTGCAGCATCACCAATATCTAGGGGTCAATTTAGGCCTAAATTTAACACAAACGATGAATTTACTTTAACTACAGTTGAAGCCGGTGCTCCTGTATTTGTCAGAAGGGAAACCAGTGATGATCTCGATGAAGAAACTTCTTCAACTCAAAACGATAGTTTGGAAGACAGCGAAGGGTCTGCAACTACTATAGAAGATAAACGCCCTACTACTATATCTAGAGGACGTGGACGGTATTTGACATTTGCACCAACTGAAGCTATTGGACAAACTACAACAACTGAGCCAACATTCACCCCAAGGCGACCGACATTTGCGAGATTTACACCTCGTCCATTCGCCAGATCGTCGATAAGACCAATTATCAATAAAGATAGATCAGAAGGGCAAGTCATTACGCCAAGAATACCATCTAGAGCACCGTTTAGCAGACCCAGACTACCATCTTCCGGATCTAATAATAACGTCCCAGTTATTCAGGCTCGAAGATTACCGTTTGCGTCAAGAACTTCAACCACTACTTCAACAACTGAACAGACATTTACTACGGAAATTGATGACGAAGATTTAGATAATAAACGCGATGATATATATCTTTCTGAGAGTGCCATTGAAGAAAAGGAACACGCAGATGATAGAAGCCATATGAGTGAAGAACCAACAAATAAAAAAGACAAAGAAAAAATCACAACCAATGTTTATTCGACTACCGAAGTTTACGGAATTGGTGAGACTGTTACGAGTGATACTGGTGCCAGGAGATTTAAAGTGATAAGACGAAGACCAACTACATCGACTGTCCCTGCTGAGACTACAGACTCTCCTCTTTTTACTGATGTTACTACGTCTACAGTTCCCAGAATACGCAAAATAATAAGGAAAAAAATAAAAGGGACAGATGATGAAACAACAACTACGTCTAAATCTATAATTACCGAAGCCATTAGCGAAGTAACGGGCATTGCATCTAACTACGGAGAAAAGACAAAATCTATCACAACGACCCCACCTACTACTGTCAATAGCCTTGATGCTGAAGATGTACAAATCGTACCAACATTTGAATCTATTAAAGAGCAACCGAAAGTTAAGGATTACGATATAAAATCCGAAATTCCTATTGACGAATCTGATGAAGAAGATACCGAAGACGAAATAAATTTAAAAGAGGAACCAGATATAAATCATTTTCTGCAGGAGGAAAATAATAAGGAATCACCGCCTGAATTTGACACTGAAGACACACTGACTAAAGATAAAACCGAAACTGATTCTGAGAATGAGAAAATACCAATATTAGATTTTAAAGATGAGAATTCAGCCGAAATTAATTTAAAAGAGGAGACAAACGTATCAAACCTTACAATGCCATTTAACGATGTTATTCAAGTAAGCGACTTGACGAATAAAACTGAAACAACCCATGTTGAAACGGATTTATCTATCATCACTGATACCAATCTGGAAGAAAAGCAAATAGATTCGACTTTAAATGAGGCTGAAAAAATAGATAATGATACTGAAATCGTTATTATAAAAAAGTCTGAAAATAAAACAGAAGATGGAGCAGATAATGAAACTTTAAGCTTAACTACAGAACCAGATAATACAACGGAAGGTATAGAATTTAACAATACAACTGTCAACTTGTCAAATACTCAAGTTTCAGCGGAACCTTCATTGGCACAGGACAATAGCACCAGTGAAAACACCATTGAAACTACATCCAAAAGTACTACATTATCAACGACGTCCTCAGTGCGAACAAGGTTGCCATATAGGCCACCGAAACGATTATTCACCTCAACAACGGAATCATCATCACCATCTAGTAGTAGAGTTTTTAGCCGAAAGTATAATCCAGGTGCTTACACAAGCCCCGCAACTGTAGACAGAGAACCATTTAGAAACTCTGTAACAAAACGACCACTATTTTCACGAACATTTACCAGAAGACCTTTCACTACAGCCAAAACAACTAAGACGATAGAAGAAGATGAGTATTCTGATGAAGAATTATTGGACGAAGAAGTTCTTGAAGAAGAACCTGAAAACCCTTTCGTTTTTGTTCCACCCAGTCAGTTGTTTACCCGAAAACCTGATTCTGAAGAGGAATATGAAGATGAAGGTAACGAAGAAGATGAAGAAGTTTCAGAAGAAGAAATATATGATGAAGAGCAACCAGAAACAACTACGACTACAACTACAAGTAGGTTTACGACATCCCGTAGGCCACTTTTTAAACCTAGAATCGTAAACTCAAATACGTTTAGAACATCAACTACTACAACAGAGTTACCAAGACGTCAATTTAGTAGTACACAAAATAAAACTGTAGTCTCTAACAGATTTGCATCAAATAAACCAATTAATGACACAAAGAAACGTGTACAAAATGTTCCAATAGGTTACAATGTTCCAAAAATCATACAAAATGTACCTAATACTAATAATATCTCGACAAAGACAGTGACATCGAACGATGCAAGTGATAAAACAACCTTTACCATTCCAATTATAAATACAGATGATGAAGACGTTACTACTACAGATAAAAATGATTATCTTTCCGTTACCGAACAAATTACTACACAAACAGAACCCGAGAAAAGCATCGATAAGCTAACAACCGCAGTTACTAATGTAACCAATGAACCAGAAATTGAGACAGTAACCGTACACAGAACAGAAGATGATATTAGCACTGACGAATATTTAGAGCACATTGAAAAAGCAGTCACCCAAGCTAATACAAATGATATAATTTCCAGCACAAGAATTCAAAGTATTTCTCCTAGTACCGCAGTTTCTTTTGTCACGACCTCAACTCCAGTAAAAATCTCTTCTATAACCACTGAAGCTTCACCTGAAACCACGACGATAGCACCAACAGTAATGCCTATTTATAAAACTCAATATAATAAATTATTTTCAGTTAGTAGAGTTGTAGAAGTATCTTCGAAAGTAGATAAACATCATTTGAACAAAAATAACGAAACAACACTAATCGAAGAAGGGCCTATTGTCATCGAAAAAAAACCAACTGTTGACAAGATTGGTGAAGTAAGTCGATTTAGTGTTATTAAAATTGTAGAGGATGAAATCCCTATCTATTTAACTAAACTTGGACGTATTTACCCTGTGGATAATCCTCCAAATAATCCGATCCGAATCGATGAAGCTAGAAATGCTAGGGCACTTTTGAGCTATGATGACTATCCTAAAGAAAATCTGCTGGCATCAGAAAGTATGAATGAAGCGTATAGGCATATTAATAAAGTCACAAATCACCGTAAAGATAGCATGCTTAAGCGTGAAGTGGAACACGTATCTGAAGACGATTTCTTGAGTTATATTAATGAAGACAAAAACACCGAAAGAAGCGAAGAGAATAAACAAAGTCCAACGTGGAAATTTGTACCGGCTGCATATGAAAATGAGCAAATGAAGCAAGCAAAGAGTTTTGAAGTCGTTACTCCGCGTATTATTCGAAATGATCCATCTACTCTGTCCTTAGAAGCTTTATTCAAAACGGAATCACCGATTACAGATAGAAAAGCTAGCGAGGAAAAGGAAATTCCTACATTTTTCGTATACCCCTCGCCTATACCGATACCAAAAAAGGAAAATATTGAAACTTTACCCCCTCTTAACAGTCCAAAGGAGAACAAAAATACAACACATGGTGTGAACCAATCTCCCGCCCAACAGGAAAATAAAATTCCAGTGATCACAAAACTGGCATCCGAAGCAAATGAAAATGTTAATTCAACTACTTCTTCAAACAAAGCATCAGAAGAAATCACGACAAGTCCTATTTTGGAACTATTAATGACGAAAGGAAATAATTCCGTAACCAATCACACTACAGCAACATCAACCACAACAGCAATACCTTCCACAACAGAAACAGGTACAAACACAGGCAAAACGTCCCCCGTGGAAAATAAAAGAGCCAAATTTCCATTTACCAGGAGACCCGCCATTAAAGCCTCAAATGTAACTCTAGCGTCCGCTAACACGAGGGTTGGTAAAAAAATTAACAACACGGTCAAATCAAATTCCATACAAAGAGCAAACAAAACGTCTACCTTTACACCGAGCAAGTCCAGGTTCTCGGCGAACCGGGCGCAAAACGTTCCCGTCGACGTACGAAACAAACCGACCGTCGGCAAATTCGCACCGAAAACGTTCACAACCGAGAGCCCTACATCTACAGCCGAAAGGAAAACCTTCACAAAGCCAAAGAGGCCACCCTTCCGGCCAGCTTTTGTGCCGCGACGAACCACAACGACAACGCCGAACACTGCAGTTTAATGTCAGAACATTCCATGTAAACGCATGCGACTGAATCCTTTTCTCTGGCCGTTCTGACCTCTTCTACGTCCGCTTACAACTTGAATTTTCAAATACACTTTCCGAATCCGATGGTATTTTCGTAGTCAAATACAAAACTAAGATCTTTTGTAACGCAAAGGTTTACTTGTACATATCTAGACTCTACAACTCCTTCATAGTCATATTTTATGAAACTTTTATAGCTTTAACATAGGTTTAAAGGTCCAAATGAAAGTTTGTTCGTACCAAAAATGTATATTTCTTATTAGTTTATTTTGGGAGAACGAAAACTTTCGTATACAAATTGTCATAGGTTATATAAAATTAGAATAATTATTTAAAGTATTTTATAATTGATACTAACAACAACAATAATTATCGTTACCAATAATGGAATAATGTAAATATACGAAAAGAAAAAATGGGCATAATGTTATATCATGATTAAAAATGTATTGTAACGAACAGGAAATAAAGGTATGCAATAAATTGGTAGTGAACATATTTTTGTTATTTCTACTTCTAGACCAATAATACTATATCACAAAATATATTCTCAAATTATTGGTTTGTACCTTAGCATATTTACGCGTGATATTCGTTTTTAATAAGCAAAAGACCAAACTCAAAGAATGACACGACGTGTGTTTTTTCGACAAAATTATAAAAACGTGTGTGATGGAATAAAAGGTAAGTAACATACCTATTTATTTAATTATTAAAGAAGTTGATCGTATTAAAAATTTCGTTAGTAATGCAAATCATTTCGCATTTTATGATAAAAAATACCTTGGTTTAATGGAACTGATCTCTTTCTCTTTTTTAAAAAAAATCTCACGTTCATTTGAAATTATAGTTCCCTCTCGCAGTTTTTATTCCAACCTTTCAATATCCAATATCCATTGTTCCTTTTCTTTTGGACTACCACATACAATTAACACTGTAGCCCAACATCAATTAGTTAGTTTTCCCAACTACGTATACAACCATTGTGAACTGCTTGACAGGAGATTGTATTCAATTATCGTGATAAGAACGTGTATATTGAATTTAATTGTTGAAAGTTTCAATTTAATTCATTGTTTTCCGAAACCGTAATACGAATTGTTTTACAGCCATTTTTTGACATTCATAATTGATATTGAGATGTCCTTTCTGTTGTTTTTATTGTTAAAATTATTTTTATATAATGTGTAAATAAGAAATAACAATAGGTAAAGCATACTTTTCGTCACCTGTTAAGAGTTACGCTCTAGTCAATGCGCTTAATTGCTTATAACAGTATCAAATGTACACATAATGGACAATCGGAAATTAACTGGTGCGAAATAAGTACATATGCATTTCACAAAGCACTAATTTGGAGTGTTACGTGCTTCACATGCTTACAAAACGCGTTATTAGATCATTAACCGTATGCAACGGCGTTTAATCGGATAGTTAGACGCAGCAATGACCCACAAGTACGTCCGCCGAATACGGCCAGCTGCGTCGTTGATTTACCGCCTAGATCATGCTAATTCCCCTTCTCTTTACCGACCCGAGTCCAGTCGAACTCGCATCACCAAATTTACAAACTAAAACACGAGATCGCGAGGTCGCTATGAGTTGAAAGATATACCAGATCTGTATTAGGTAACGCTACTATTAAACGAGCAATTCTTGTATATATATACAAGAATTGCTCGTTTAAACGATAACATAATACAAGTATTTACAAATTAGATTTTTATTTAATATCTTAATACTGTAGTTACACTCTAACCTGATTCCATAGTGACCAATACAACGGTTTCCAATCCTTATAACTCTTGTTGATATTCTAATGTTAATTAATGCATTTTTAACTATGCGGTGTATTTCAAAGTTAAGAGACATTTCAGAATCATGTTCTATATCGCACATATGCGTCATGATTTTTTAGAACCAAACCTGAAAATGATCTCTAGTATACACAAAACTTCATTTGTAATTTATGTAAAACGTGAATATATAGGTAGTATATTTGTATTTGTACTATAGTCATGCTGTACAATCGGCGACAGTTGATAAAGACTGCCAGACGTGTTTGTATTTCTTCACAAATATTCAGTATCTTCTAAGGCATAATATAGTATATGACGAAAAATTTTTAATCGGCTTCGAACAACATTCTTTAAATGTAATCAAATTATAAATAAATCGTTACATATGTTTATATCTAATATATAAAATTCTCGTGTCACGGTGTTTGTAATTGAATTCCTCCGAAACGGCTCGACCGCTTTTCGTGAAATTTTGTGTGCATATCGGCCAGGGTGGAGAATCGGACAACATCTATTTTTCATCGCCCTAAATGTTAAGGGTATTCAACCCGCAAACATTTTTTTCTATCCTACAAATAATTTTTATAGCAAAACAACGTTTGCCGGGCAACTAGCTGATAGTTAAATTATAATGTAACCAATATCGCCACTTAGACATGAGTTCTAGATTAGTCGTTGTGCGGCTTTGACACGGTAACTTTTATTTATGACAAGCATGTGACTAAGTAATTTTTGTGCCATTGAAATGTCGCATCGACATCAACATTATAATTAAATAGACTCTGTTAGGTATGTAGGTGTTTACCGTACCATGGCCTAGCAGCCAAATCATGTTCACGATATTTTTTGTCGCGCTGTGATAGCTCATTGTCCGGGCGCTCGCTCTTAATTCAATGATACTCGAGCAACATGGATTCTGTTGCCGGCACCAATGAAAATGTTTTAGTGCTGACTTATCACGTTCTCAGTAGTAAAGGAAAACTCGTATACCTGCATATTATCGAAATAATAAACAAAAATCTTTCAAAGATATGTGAAGACCGCCAATGCAGTGAGGTCACGTGGTGGTACTTTACTTTTGCGTCGCACCTTTATTAAAAAATCTTAGCTCTCAACGTAAATTCTGCGCTTTTTAAAAAAGTTATATATTGCCAATAATTGTGCAAGAGAGTATGGTATTTATCTAAAATAACGATGACTAAGTTGTTTACCTATGGCCACCATGGTTGACACACCCACTCGAAGTTACGAGTCCCGTGCAATAAGTAGATATATGTCCACAAATAATTTATGGATTTTATGGGATCCGTAAATATGTGCATGTGTAATTCGCGTATTTAAAACCCTCCTATTGCACATTTATAAAGATGTTATTAAAAAATACTTTAATTTTTTATCTCTTTTAATAATTTTTAAATAATATATTATCAACAATTAATAAAAATTTGAGTTCAGAAGCAACTTAAATCACCAGTAAGTCTTACAATCTCACAAACAATCTCTTCGCTGAGAAAAAATTTATTCGAAACGAAGAACAGTTTTTATATTTCTTTGCGTAACATCCGATGTGTTTGTACCTATTACAGTATTACTGCGAATGTATGATATTTTATGTTTAACAATGCACTTTCCACTAACAAAATTACATTTAAACTGTGTTATATAATGTCTAGAAACTTAATTTATTTAATTTACATTTTGGCCATCCAACATTACAAGTACGTAAGTACTTACGGGGCATTAGTCTGCTTTATTGTGCATATCTGTAATTATAAATAGTGCTTTTTTTGTTAACGATGCGCTGTTTAACAGCCTTTCCCGGACCATGAATAGTTTGCAGGTCGCGTAATAGCCTTCATAATTTGGCTCAGCAACTTTAAAGCTAAATGTTTCAGGATCAAATCCAGTATCTCTTTGCCTATGTTACTTTTTTCATAATTAGATTTTGTTATTTTACAAAGCACACTTTTCCTTCATTTTGTACCATAAATAATATCACTATTGTTGTTTTGAAGATCATTTATTATTTGCCAGACAGAATTCATCATGTCAGCAATAACACTTGCATAAGTCACTATAGTATAGGCGAAATACTCGTATTATTGCTAGAAAAACCTTAGACTGGATTATGATAGCTTTTGGCTGAACATCATCACAGCCTTCTTCATCACACTGCTGGAGTAGACTTTTGCTATACTCTTTTAAATTTTTAAAACTGATTCATAGTGAGTCAGGCAATTTGCTTCTTTGATTGCCTAATAGCTGAACTATTAGCATTTCTTGTAGCATGCCAGACCATATCTTACCTTATAATCATAAATTAAAACTTTAGTACCTACGTTGCGTACTTTTGTCCTTTGATTTCAGAGTTGCCAGTAGTAAGGTCAATGTATTAAGTAAATAGATCTGTTCAATCCATCGTTCGATAAGTAATATGAAAGTGAGTTATTAAAGTTACAAGTATTGTTCTACAAAATACAATGTTAACTAAGAACTCTCTGGGTGCTATAATATCAAGAATTTATTATTCACATAGGTAGGCACATGTATACTGAAACACCAAACTTAGATCATTAAAGAAATTAGAGTGTAAGCAATGGTATGATTTCTGTATTAATTAATGAGTTATGTCTTCACACGTTCTTGTCAGGCTCAGGGCAGTCGATATTAATTCAGAGTATATTGATCAAATCAAATTATTTATTCACCGAAGTAAGACAAGACAGGCGAAAGAAATTCCGTAGGTATCCTCTTTTTTCTCATTTTTTATCCTCAAATTGTTACACATCATCTCATTCCCAGGGGTTATTATCATTAATGTATTCATTTATATTATAATAACACTTAAAAAGTTTTTTTGTAATAAATTTCTTAAACCTGTTATTAGACAGCCTTTGCGCATTAGCTGGCATTTTGTTGTAGAACACACCGTGTATACACCGTCCCATGAACGAGTTACTTACTCTATAGAGTCTAGTAACTGATCAACCTAAGTTCAAATAATGGTGCCGGCAACAATGAAATTGCTAGTTGAAATTTTAAGTGTTGACCTATTACGTGCGCAGCAGTGCAGTAAAACATCGGGAGGAAAATTGCTCATTTTCGAAATAATAACAAAAAAAAAATTTCGAGGATGTAGGTATAGTCTGTCCGCGGCGTCGCGTGGTTGCTACGCCCTAATACCCTCTGTACAGAGGAGGCCTATGCATATCAGTGGGACTTATATGGACTCAAATATTATCTTAATAAATAAGGTATATAAAGGCGTACAAGAGTGTAAAAATTAACGCGAGGTCGGCGTTCACATCGAATCTTCCCAGTCAGTAGACAAACTAGTGTTTAATAAGGAAGTTGGTGCAATGTGTTACATAACTGCCAACGCTCGTGCATTCGTAAATGCAGAGCATTTAAACGCTTCAAACCTTCCTCGCTCTCTTCCGTAAATGGGGTCGATCGAATTTTTTCCCTTACGCTATGGCAACTGGCAACATTTTGGTGGAAATTAAAAAATTTGCGCTAGTAAACGTATTTAGAATTTTTTTAACTAATATGTGATAACTCGTTGGCGCAGTTGCTAGCTATTGGTTTCGGCGACGGGTTCATGGGTTCGATTCCTACATGGGGCACGATTTGTGTGACTCACGTATGTATTTGGGGGCTCTAGGGATTTTAAGGAGGGCTGAAGCGGGCGGTAAGAAGGCCTCAGGCCGGTGTAAAAAACCTATGCAATACCAACATAGTTCACCTGTTGGGTCGATAATAATAAGATACTTTTTCAGTCGCTGTGTGTAAATGAGTACCGTATGAGGTACAAAATCGTTCTGCTAGTGATCCGTATGACAAATAGCCCAATTTTTTTCTAATAAACGATAAAGTATAACTCTGCGGAGGTACGACCCCATCATCAACTTTATGAAAAAGTGAGGACTCCATACAACTTTTAACTTATGTTGTTAACATTTTTAATGAAATTTTTATATTTTTTAATAACCTACATTTTCTTTAATAAATATTTTATCTAGTTAGCTATCACCCCTTTTAATGACGCATAAGTTACGTCAATGTGTAAAGGTATTTTAAGATTCATCTTCAACGCTCTTGGATGGTCAAATCTTATGACGTAAAGTTTTTCCTTAGACCGGCTTTCTGTGTAGTATTTACTGATTATTAATTTAAAACGAACCTTTCACTTAGTTCGTTTTTAAAAAAACAATTTTATCCACGTAAATTTTATCGATTCCGCCTTAAATGCTCAGTCGAATTTTATTGCAAACCATCAAGACCAATTTCGGTAATGGTTTCCTTATAACTTCGCCATTGGGCAACACAACCTTATTTGATCAAAGCGATGCATAGGCATGCGGGTCTCATCTCCGTTTCGCAGCCGACCCACTTGGTGGGCCGGTTTTGGGCAGCGCAACGGAGCATGGGGGTTTGCCGCGCAAACGTTCTCGCGCCATTTCCGTTTCTGCTCAGTAATGGCGGTCGAAATAAGTTTGTGTAAATGATTTGGTATCTATTTCCAATCGGAAATACGTTAAAAATGTTTACGGCAATTTATTTTTAATCTATCACAAGTTATTTTATATAATCATGGGGAATCACATTCCCCGTGTTTGTAGACATTTAAAGAGCACTAACGACATTCTTCGATCACATTTATATCACATCGCTACGCATATTAGAACAAGAAAAACTCTCTTTGGAAAACTCAATTGAAAAGTTTTTGATTGTTTGTTGATCAAAAACTTTTTATTTTATTCCATGGGCAAATTATTCTTTTAGGTATTTTTTATTACAATTTTTTAATAAACCAATTTGTAGCTTAGCAAAATCACAATGTACCCAACGTTAACTGTCATTTTAGTGATTGAAAAAATGTTTTTTTATATCGGTTTTCCAAAAGTTTATAGCAATTTATTTAAAAAAATAAGAATAATACATATTGTAGACATTTATATAAGAGGAAGGTTAGGATTCAGGATAAAAAGAAACACCCAAATTGATTTAGTTTATTTTACAATACATAACTTGAGTGCGTTGTGGTTTGAAAATGTTCTTCAGTAATTTTCATTTCTTCCAAGTCTGCGTCGAACTCTCGATATCTGAAATAGAAGGAAATAAAAATTAAAAACTTACAAAATATACGAAAAAGTAAATTTCTAGCTTTCTTTGATATTATTTTTTTGCTAGTTCTTCGAGCTCTTTAAGCACTTGTAGTAGTATTTTATATAAAATAATATTAAACGACGTAATAAATGTAAAATTACTAGCTATGAAATCGAATCGAATTTTAATGGTCACTATATTATTTCCTATGTTTGTGACGGGTGGACGAATATATTTCTACAAAAATTTTCATAAAGACTCATTAGTATCAAAGTATCCCTTAGGAGTTTTAAGTTTTAAATAAATTAGTATGCCCTGTATGTAGTAGCGTTAAATCTAAAAATATCACACGATAAACAAACTTCTATAGACTTCAAATTAGTGGTCGAGTGAAGTATGGCCAAGATAAATGAAACTAGAGGCAAGGCAGTAGGAAGTTATCTACTTCAAGCAGTTCCAGCAATTTCCACGTTCTTTCAATCGCTCACAGCACTTCCTATTACTAGGAATCCAGAAAAACATTACACTATATACGTTTCTTTATACAAGCGACCGCGGGCTTTGTACGTTATGCAACTTCGCATAGTTTATCTAAGGATTAATGTTGCCATATGCTGATAAAAACCACTGTTATAATTCTTTTTTTTTTTTTTTGCCTTTTCTCAGTTCGGTAAAGCTTGATGTTTGTCACTTTCACTCACTGATTTATTGGTGGAAATCATCTCACTAAGTGTTTGTTAAATTTATGACCATTACTAATTCATTTAAATTATTCAATACATTTATTATTTGTTTAATATAATTTACTAACTTTACTAACAAGAACAATGCTATGATAATCCGTATTAACATTATAACAAAAGTCGGCGAATTAGTCTACTATTCTAAAACTTAGTCAAGAACAACGAAAATGTCACTTAATTTTAAAGGTTCCAGCATAATTTTTAGATTTTTTAACCAATCGATAAAAACAAGCAACTCTCATCTAACGGCTGTTTACTTTTTAACTTAATCGATAGACGTGAAAAGCGCTAAAACAACTAAAAAGCTATACGGATAACTAGAATAGAAGGTGCGGTCTCATGGAAAAGAAATACCGACTGTCTCACACTTGACGCGGAGAAAACAGCTTTCGCCGACGCCTTCTGTTTATACAGCCTCTGGCCGGTTGATTTATCTTACGCAATACCACTCCGTAACAGATTGATTGAATTTCTAACATGACAGGTGGGAGCATTACACAGATAGACACGGAGAAATAACTAGTCTAACGATAGAATTAATTATGAAATTATACTAGCCTTTAAATTTTTCTTCACGATCTCAAATTACAAAAAAAGCTAAAATTGTCTACTTTCATTGATTTCATTAAAAGATGATGCGTTTTGTAGAGGGAACAAATGGAATTGTATATAAAGTTAGGATTTATAATATGTTTAATACGGAATAGTTTTAAATAACTCAAGGTGAGAATTGAAAATCTAGATCTCCTACACCTAAAGTCCCGTTTTGTTGAAAGCAGTATATCCGAGATTTTAGATATGGTTACAGTTTGCTTGAATGAGTTTGCTTACTTATTGTTATATAATATTTTTTCCCTTTAGGGACATGCGAAACCAGCTTGAAATAAGATCGACATATATTGACATGTACATATACATATATAATTTGTATTCCTTTGCTAGCAGTAAGCGCACAATTGAGACCACTACGTTACGTTATTGTAAACATAGTAAGGAGCGTTTTTTAATCCCATGTCTTTTGATGACAAGGAAGTCGTTATAGTTTAAATAGAAAGCCAGTTAGAAAATCCGCCAATATGGAACGAGGTTCCGACCGGTGTCGCAATGGACAGGCACGTGGATTATGCAAATTGCTTCAAGATCAAAGCAAATAGTACACGTAACACGACAGTTAAGAGCAGTAAATCAACACACAATGAGACGGAGATATGGCGTCAAATGTTAGCGTAGGAATAGAAGTAGAAACAGAAGTTACACACCTGAGAAAAAATTCGTTAAACTATCGTTTTAACTCTATTGAGTAGGAAGATGGTCAGTAATCGCTACAGACGATTACGTATTTGACGTAAACTCCATAAGACTTACGTCAGAATTCTATCTCCATTAAAAAATAAAAAGTAAATCTATCTGTAGATAGAATATTAAAAACGGCCGTAAGTCTATTGAACACAAGTGTCAAACAATAATTTATGCACGTAAGACATGCGAAAACAAAATCGGCGTCGATTTCGAAGCCGAGACCGCAGACCGCAAGCCTAATTACTGTCGAAAAAAGAGCCTGTCATCGCCCTCATCTTTATCTCAACCACTAGGCATGACTGATTTTTCTTGAAAGCAATAATGAAATATAACAACAAAAAACTTTACTCAAATCACATAGTGTAACGTATTTTGGTTTAGTTTGTACTACTTGAGACGTGGGTTCGATTCCCACAGCGGCGACAAACTTTTCGTACTTTTTCTACAAATTTTAATGTTGAATCATAAGTGCAGAGATTAGCACTATATAAAATTTAAGTTATCGTAAAATACATACAAATTTTACCGTACGTGACATGAAAAAATTCTATGGCGTTAAGTTTAATTTACCTAACAAAAACATCTGTAAAATTTTCACCAATCGTTGCAAAACAATTCATTCTTCAATACTTTATTCTGTGGCTATTCAACACTTAGATCCGGAACTGTTTTTGTACGTCACAATAAAACTTGTCAATGCCGTTTCACAGCTGCTCTATCTTGCACCGTACCATTGATTATAACTAAATTATCATAGAAATGTAAACATTTACAATACACTAGTTCAATAATGTTTCCAAACCATAGATATCTTCTTCTAATAACGCATATCAGATAAACTAATATTGATATAGACTAATAAAGAGGGAAGTGATAGCGCCAGGCCAGGAAGGCAGACTCAACCATTGGATGGGAATCACTGCACAGGGGGGAGAGAGATCGAGAAAGAGAGAGAGTTATTTATATTCGACATAGGAAACTGAAAGAAAAACTGAGAACATTTTATTTAAAACAAAAAGCAATACAAATTAAAATTAAATCATAAATAACATATACAAAAGTTTCCTCAAGTACAATTTGCTGACAATTTTAAAATATTAAGGCTGTATCAAGGAGACATATTATTTTTCATTCAGCAGAAATTGAGTTTGAGTACGTAGTACAGAAAACTTATATACGCGGTAATCATGTAAAAATAATGTACACATAATGAAAGGACAGTAAACAACGAAAGTTTATATCTATCATTTATAAGTGTATAATCATATACAATATTCCTAACCTCGAGTGATCTCTTGTTTTTGATGTCACACTATTTAGCTACTTAGTTGTAGACATTATATAACAGGTATAGTTTTGTTTTAGGCAAAATCACCAAAACGTTGGGTGAATACAGTATTAATCACTGGCGTATTCATCCTGTAATATCTTTGACTGCATAAATATTAGTTGACATAAAACGATTAGTATAATAATTGGTCGCACAAGTTTGTTACTTCTGAATCCTTCTCGATTACCTACAACATTTTTCATTAAAATTCAATCGGATAAGTGACTCATGCATACTTCATAACATAATTCAATGTAAAACGAGACCTTATGAGACATTATTATATATTTATATTACAAACGCCACGTGCACTGAAGTGGTTTGACAAAGTTGCAGTAATAACTTAGGGGTCCAGACTTGCTATAAGAAATTACGCATTCGAATATCTGGCGTGTTGAAACGAATTCTTTTTCGTGTACTTAGTGTATACTGAAGCACTGTCTCGCATTATTTTTTTACGATGCAAAAAATAGGCTCAACACCTATCTTGCACCAGCTTAACTGCTGAACAGATTTAAATAGATATTAAATAGCTTAAGGGGACACGGGTGCAATGGTACAGTAATAATTTTAAGTTACATTTCGGGGTTCCGCGAAAACAATTTGAGTGTTATTTAAGTATTTGTATCCATCAGTTACATAAAGACACCTTAGTCTGTATACGTTTTACAAAGCTCACAAACCTGAAGCGTAACGGGTCTGTTAGTCTTTCTATTCATATAAACTTCCCATTGGTACACTCGTACGAGGCCGATTTGAGCATGTAGTGCGTAAACTAAACGCGTTTGCAATCTAGACGTTGTGGATGCACAGCAATCAAGTTCATTACTGGTGCATGCGATTTCCACTACTTCTATTGATGTCACAAGTCACGAACCGTTTGTTTGTTTCATTATTTCTCAACGTATTTACGCTTTTAGTATTCCTTTCTCGATTTCTGAGCCGTGTTAGATCATTGTCCGGGACTATTATTGTTGGATATGAGACTACAGGTTATATCTTCAGTTCTTCATGTCGATTATACAATAAAAACTATCCATTATTTTACATACTTGCAATCATTAACGATATATTACAATTATGTTAGTTATAATATACTTAGGATCGCCTTTATTTGTTTTCTTTAATGTACGTGGGCTGACTTTTGGCTAATGATATGGTCATAAGCCCATCACGATTCGAGCCAAACGGAGCCAAGGCTGATCGCGTACGCTGTGGTGACACGTGACACCGGCGTTACGTAGTTTTAACACAGTTTAGCGGTATCTCCATTCCGCGCGGGTAAAATGAGGTAATCCCGTAAGGTTTATCGAGAAGATTCTCAATGCATTATTCATACGCGTAGGTACAACAACGTGTTTCGAGTCCATTGGTTGTTCAATAAGACATATGAGCGACGGAATTTAAAAATATTGCGACGAATTACCACAACCCTTCCTTATCGAAATCTAAACAAAAAAGAAGTAAATTCAAAAAGTTGTTATCGGTTGCCATGGTAACATCGTGAAGTTGGCCTGGTTGGTTGGAAGTTGCCATGGTAACATTGTCTCTTTTTGGCTGTCTATGTGCGCGCGCATCGTAAAAATTTTATTGTCGTAATTTTTTCCAAACGCGCCAGGGGAAG